TACTATAGGAGCAAGGACGCTACTAGGGGCTCCTAGCCTTACTACTAGGAGCAAGGACGCTACCAGGGGCCCCTAGCCCTACTACTATACTACTAGGACAAGGACGGTACTAGGGGCTCCTAGCCTTACTACTATACTACTAGGAGCAAGGACGCTACTAGGGGCGCTTGCCTTACTAGGAGCAAGGACGCTACTAGGGGCTCCTGGCATTGCTGGAATTTCCGATCCCCACGACAGTGAATGGTGTTGTGACGTATAGCAGCGATGCTGATGGGTTCTTTGCTGGTCCCTTCCAACAGAACAGCCTTGCAACAAACCCACCGAACTATCCTGAAGGCAGAGGGACTGGCTGAATGCCCGGTATGCTTCAGAGCACTCTGCACGGGCCTCAGTGCAGGTGAACCCTAGAAGCGATGGCCTCCAACCTAGTAGCAAAAAGATGAGAAAGGGGTCAGTTCACATGTGAGTCGTAAGATGTGGTAAGTCAAGTCCTTGGAGAGTTCTTTCAAGTGTAACAAGGTGCGTCACAACATGCGTCACAACATGTCGCAACGGTCTCAGATGTTTCTCCTCGGACACTAAGGTGAGGGTGGTCCAGCTGTCCTTTTCGATGCCGGTGGTCGCCACTTGTTCGATTGGTTGGAACAGATCGGTGTCACGTGTGTGGTATGGATGTGGTATGTGCAGATACAGACTATCTCATGCACTGTTTCTAGATTCTAGCCAAAGATTCTAAGAGCCAGTGTTCCTAGTGCCCTTTGACTACATGCGGTTTGTCATCTGGGTTTGGGTGCTCGTTTGGTCCGTCAGTCTGCTACATTCATTTGACTGAGAACACATCTGAGGTCGGGTTTGCGGGCATTTCCTTTGTGCTGCATGCGCCACGGAGCTTTCCCTCCAATCTGCCGCACCCCGTTGCCCCGTGTGCCGTCAGCAGTTTCAACCGCCCCCAACCCGGCCACCAGATCCTCGAGAGGCAGGGCAATGCCCATGCATGGAGTCGAAATGATGAGCGTGTCTATGTTGTTTCTCTCTATCCCCTTGTGTTCTGCTTGTGATTCTACCGTGTCTTTTGTGCGCTGGTCTTACTGTATTGTGTTCTCTTTCCAGATGTCAAAGATAGCTTGCTCCAAAATGTCAGCAAGTTTTTGAACTGGTTGAGTCTTTGGAGGATCCTGCAGCTTGGTTTGCCTTCTTCGATGAAGATGGCTCTGGGTACCTTGAGCGCCAACTCTTAGAGAAGGCGGCAAGTCGGGCTCGTTCAAATCGGCGACGACATTGAGACACCGGCGTAGCTCAACTTCACACGAGTCCTTCAGACGAACTTCTGACATTTCGTCAATGACACTGTTTAATGATGTTTAACAGCTGTTTAGCTTTTGTTTAAGGCTTTGAGAGTTTTTGAGTATTGCAACTTGGTGACAGGTATTGCCTGCAGTGGTGCCCGTCGATGCTAGCAAGCTCGAGGTGCAAGAGAGAAAGCTGGGCCAAAGAGCAAGTTGTGCCATTTCAGTCCGTATGTTGTGGTCATAAGCTTCAAATGCAACTGTGAAGCGTTGGCCCAATTGCATTCTCCACTTTCTTCTCATGTCACAACTTGAACACGAAGACCCGAGGCAGTTCAGGTCAACCTTGAAGTAGGGGCTGGGGATCAGCAAAGAAAGGTGGCGTTGCTGTGCAACCCATCCGGGATTTTGGTTCTCGTTGCATGGTGGTTGTTGAGAACTTGTAGATGCTTACGCTGTCCCTCCCTCTACTGCTTCAGGCCTCTTTACGAGGTTCCCTTTGGAGCGAATGGGACCGCCGCACACTTCATTAACTTTGCAGTCTTTGAACTTGAACATGCCATGTAGCAAACAAACTGCCTGATGGAACTCACTCATCCATCTTGCTTTTGACATTTTGTGGTCAAATTGAATCAGTAGTTTCAAAGGAAGTGGCTGTCGTACAACGATGTGATTGGTACCAACTGTCGCCTCTGTGAGGACCCTGCTGGTGAGGGCCGGGTCTCCCGGAAGGCCTTCTGCGCAGAACGTGGCCTGCTGTGAGAAGCCCAGAACGGTTTCTGTGGGGTTCTTTCCATCTCACTTACGATCCGTGAGCAGTGGGGGTCTAAGCAGTGGGGCAGTGTACTTCACATGACCCACTGAGGCGATGGCTAGCTGAACACTTGGAGGAATTGCAGGAAGAGAGGGAAAAGGGGTCGGGACCCAAGCTGCTTGCTCTCAGCTGGATAGTCCTTTTTATTCCGAGCTCTCACATTGGGCTCCCTAATTGATTCCTTTATTTTGTGACAAAGCCATGCCTACGTGTGTGTGTGTGTTCACTGCTCACTGATGCTTTTGAATGGCAAATTGTGCCTGGAAAATACTGATCGCTCATCGCCAAGTCCACCTCCTCCGCTGGAGCAAGACCGTATCAGCACTCAGTCTACTTGTGGAGTCTCCTTTGCTATTTGGAGACTCAAAATCGAAAGGAGGGTGGGTTTCAGGTATTTTACACAGTGACACAAAGGCCTGAAACACTGATTTCAATCACTTCCATGTGCACGTGCCCCACCAATAGGCGAAGGATGGCAGGGACCCCAGTCCTTGATTTGGAAACTCTGGCTTACCTCAAAGCTATGATGTATGGTGTATACGAATACTGGTGGAGAATGGTGGGGATTTTTACCACTTGTCATTTACATGTTGTTGAGGTTTCGACACTGGACAAGTCCCGGAACGAATGAGATGGGCAAGGCCTACGCAGAGCACAAGCTCTAGAATATAATGAGGTATCATACAGTAGAATAGTAGGTTTAGGTTGACCAAATTATGCCTAATATTTGAGTGTTCAATTTTACAGTACTGTACTTGAGTACTTGGTGCCCTTGTCACCAGAGCACATTTGTTGCCGTGCGGCTCTTTCTTTGAACTTCTTGTGGCCAGAGGCGTTCAGAACACATTTGTTTGCACTCCTTGAAGCTACTGGCAACATGTCCCCATATGTTGCTTGTTTACTGTACATCTTGCATATGCAACCCTCTGTGCTAGGCGGACGTTTTGCGTGCTGTCATCACCTCAGTGCATACATGCGTTCTGCATTCAACATTAAACAAGACACTTCAGACTTTCTCAGACTTTCTCAGACTGACTACTTGTGAGGTCTTGAAATCCTGTGGGACGAGCTCTTTGGAAGCGTCGGCAGTCGCTGCCAGTCTGGCTCACAGAGACCGACAGCCCGCTTCTGTGCGGCCCGCTATGCGGCCCGCTATGCGGCCATCTACTTCTGTCGCTACTTCTGTGTTTTCCACAAGGTCGAGAATGGATTGAACGATGCTGGTTGCTTTGGGACCCGATCCCAGTTTCTGCAAAATGTGTGTGCTATTCGACACCTGTGAACTTTGAAACTTTAAAGCATCCCTTGACTTGAACTTCCCATATTACATTGAAAGCTTTCCTGCAATACAAATTGTTGCAGGGACCTTTGGATGAAACTCATGTACTGTAATCGTTCAACCGTTTCGATCCTTTTATACGGTCAGCATGCCTTGCTTGGCAGGATAGAGACAAGTCAGGAAGAATATCATTAAAGGACTGGACATTCAAATTGTCAAGGTGTGATATGAGACCATGTCCGTTGCGATGCTCTTATTCCGACGTTGCAGGATTTTTGTGCAGATGGTGGCCTGGCGGTCCATTTCTCAGAATCCAGATCAGGATGAGCGTACGAATTTTGTAGCCTGAAGCATCACACAGAGAGGAAGAAGGAAGATACAAAAGAAGAAAGGAGGACGACGTCTTAAGGACATGATGCTGCAACAAAGCACACTGGCTGCCGCCAAGCGCGTGGTGCGCCGCATGGAGCCGGGGCTGTCCCAGAGAGCGCGACCGCACTTTGCAAAACGATCCACGTGGGGCTGGGGGGGTTCCAACGAGCTTCCAGCCCCTAGCAGCTTCTTGTTCCTAGTACGGCCAGGAGATCCTAGTAGCGTCCTTGCTCCTAGGCTGGAAGTACATGACCCTGCGGCCTTGGTTGCATGTTGTCAGCAGCTGGTGGAGTGTTCAGTTGGCATTCGCCCGGAGGCGAGATCTGACGGGACAGAAATAGAATGGCGAGAGCGGGACTTTGGGAGAATTGTGATCAGATTAATTTAATGGAAACAGGCTCAGATTGACTCAGATTGCTTCGATTTTATAGGCTTTAGGGCCCGATGAAGGAAAGTCTATCGACATATTTATGTTTAAATGTGTTGAAACCGATGCATCATGCGTCCTAGACGCGTGGGAACAAGGACGCTACTAGGAGCAAAGGGCATCGCTACTAGGAGCAGGACGCTACTAGGGGCTCCTGGCCTTACTACTAGGAACAAGAAGCTACTAGGAGCAAACATAAGGGATGGGACTCACCAGTTCTACGAGCGATCCTTCGCTGTGTCTCAGGACGCGGTGGAAACGTGGCCCGGCTCCGCCTGCCGGCGGCTGCGAGAACGTGCCGTACAGCCGGGCCCCAACACTGGAGCTTCCTATTTGGCTAAAACTGAAGACACTGAAACATCAAATTCTATCAGATTTTCAGATTTGTTAATTTATCCGGAAAGGCAACAACCACTCTTGTGACTTTTTCAATGACTACTTGTTTCACTGAAGTTGATGTTTTGTGCCTGTGGAGGCTCGAGGCTATTTCAGCTATGTAGGGGGCTGCATACTGGATGGATGCTTGTTGTGTTTAGTTCGGAGGTTAGATAAAACATAATGAAACTGTCACGGGCCTGTTTGGAGGAGCTAAGCCAGCTAAGCTCTTACACTCTCGTTGTTTGCTTGCTTTGTTTGCTTTTGATAGTAAAAGCGCACCGCGGCGCATCAACTCGCGGTTGGCCAGCATCAAAGCTCATGCTGCGCCGAAGTGTCGGGCGCTTCTGCGACCTCTACGCAGCGTTGGGTGTTCGCCCTTCTGCGACGCATGGCGAGCTCAGAGATGCATATTTGCGTTTGGCAAAGCAGCATCATCCCGACGTATCTCATTTGCATCAGAATGCATCGCATGTTCTTTGACATATTTTTTTAAGGGGCAGGCAGGACCTAGAAGCTCCTAGTGGTAAGGATGTCACTCAAGGAAGCTCAGGTGGCGGAAAGTTTATCAAAGAACCCTTTCAAGGTCGATCATAGAGGACATTCGCCATGGAAAGCGATCCCTCATTCACCAGGCACACTGACCTGCTATCCAATATCGACAAGCCAAACATGTTTTGGTCGGCTGGTCTAAGCTCCTTTCGTGCTCTTTCGGTGATGCTCCTTTAGGTGACGAACTCTTCTGACAACGGAGTGCGATTCCAACGAGTGCAGCGAGCCTGGGAGACTCTCCGAGATCCACAGCAGCGCTTGGTCTACGACAGCTCCAGCCGCTCCTTGGCTCAGGCCGTTCCCGAAAGATATTTAAGGCCGGGTGAGGGGGGTAGGCCGCTGATGAGGTATAGGCCATATTAGGCCAGTATCTACTTGTAGTTACTAGTTGGATAGCAAACCCCTCCCACCTGAGGGCGCTGAGGGCGGGTGGGAGCTGAAGAAGCGCTCGCATTAGATTTTTAGGGAAGCTGCGAAGCTTGATGAGCTGGTTGTACTGCACGGTTTTCTCAAGACATTCTCACATTCCCAAGGCTTTGAGACCGGCTCCATGTTGCGCCATGCAGCGGCCCAGCGAGCAGCCTCAGCAGCCAAGAAGCATGCGTCTAAGAATCACTGGTATGAGGAGTTGCGCGATGCGCAACGCGCACGCACCAGCCAGGAGTGCGAGGGGGTGACAGTGGCGATGAATCATGACATGGCTGCAGATGCTCCTTTTTTGCTTGATTCTTGTACATCCAAGACCCAAGATGGTTCAAGCCAACGCTAATGAGGAGATGAAATGGAAAGAGGAGGTCTTCCCAAGCACTCATGATGAACGCTTGCGCATGCAAGCCCAGCAGTTTGAAAAGGCGGGACGCTGTGCCACCTGCGATGGCAACACTCTTCCCTTCTAATTAAATTCTAATTGTTCCTAGTAGTAAGGCCAGGAGCCCTAGTAGCTTCCTTGCTGCTAGTAGTACGGCCAGGAGCCCCTAGTAGCATGTTATTATTACAAACATTTTGTTGGTTCATGTTAACCTGCAACGAAGCTCCTAGTGGCTTCTTGTTCCTAGCAGTAAGGCCAGGAGCCCCTAGTAGCATCCTTGCTCCTAGTAGCGTGGCCCTTAGCTCCTAGTAGCGTCCTAGTAGCTTCTCTTGACAGGTGATGCGGGAAGTCAAATCCCATCCAGACTTCGGACAATTCGTGGGTGCAGGCGGGGAACAAGATAATCTCTACTCTAATTCTACCAGCTGACACCACACGGCAGTGCCACTCCACTTGCTGGGTCACTTGGTGTGGGGTCAAGTATTGCCTTTGTAGGTTTGCAGATGAAGCTCCTGTGCCAACTTGGCTTCATTCTGGCTGCAATGTGCTTCGACAGAACGTTTTTCTTTTGAAGGGAGGCCTAGCACTCAGTAAAATAATGTAAAATCAGTATAGGTACTGAGACTGATACTGGTTGTGAGATTTTACACGGAGGGTGGGACAGCCCATGTGACACTTGGAGCCTGGAGGGTTGAGATACGGTGAACCAAACGAGGTTGAATTTATTGCTTTGGGCCTATGTGAAGCAGCAGAAGTCGGTCGCATCAAGCACAAAGCCTCCTTCCGGCATGGATCGAGCGCTGAGATCTATTGGGATAAGCTTGAGATGAGTCCAATGGTGCCAAATTTAAGACGGGCATCTTCCATATCTTCCGTCGGCGAATTCGCAGATTGATCATCACTGATCCATGCTTAGCTCCTCCGAAGTATTCCTGAGCAGTCCAAAGCGCTGTTTACTTCAGACCCAAAGTGATTGCAAAAAGTTTAGCACAGAGTGGTGCTTCAAATAACTTTAAGCCTTTCTCAGATTTACCTCCATATACTGTGTGGCACGCAGCTGATGCGCTTTCGAGGCCTGCGCGTGAGGAATTTGAAGGTGTCTTAGCATCGGGTGTGCAGCAAGTGGCTTTGACCTAAGCTATTCTCCAGCATCAAGCCGAAGTATGCAACAATTGTTACTACCCTTGCAGAGGAGTGCTCAGCTGCTGCATTTACCACTCTTCATCAAAGAGTCAGTCGACAAACACGACGTGTGGATGAGGTCTTGGCGATGCAACGGAATCCGAGCAGCGCCAAACTTTTTGCCTGGGGTTGCAGGCAAGTGCCGACAGCAAGTGCCGACAAGTGTCCCAACTTTGTTGCACTGATTTCCTCAAAATCAGGCGGAGGTGCAGCAATTAGACATATTAGGAAGGAAGAATCACGTATATATATATATAGTTAATATACTTATTACTTATTGCTACTTATTGATAGCTCAAAGCATGCTAGAATCAAGACTTGTTTGGTTTCTGCCCACCAGTTGGAACAGCCGCGACACTGACGATCGAAGTGCCTCACTGACTGCGTTGCAAGCCTGCAGCACACCAAACTTATCGCAGAAATAAACAGAAACCATTGAACCATGAGCACATAAGCTTGGCCAAGATCAAGCAACTTATATAAACGGACCACGTCAAGTCCGAAGATGATGCAGCCTGATCATGCCTGATCGGTCGCAGGGCCTTTGCCGCTTTGGCGCTCCGCCCTCCTCCGTGCAGAGCTGAATACTGTATTTGGCGATGCTGATCCCTTGTGAAGGGATCATGACATAATATTGTATCCACTCATGCAGATGATATGATTGATTTGTGGAATAGAAGAAGCGCTGTTGCCTCTAGGGTTGTGTTTCTTTTCCCGTATCATGTGTTGGAGACCCATATCAGGGCCCTTTGCTTGTGTTGGAATTTAGGCCACCTCTAGATGCACATTCGGGCGCTTCGGCGGACAACAACTACTGCGCAGGCGGTTTGTGTGTCAATTGCTGGATGAATAAGTCTTCAATGCAGTGGGTTTGCACTTGAAGAAGACCATTATACTACCAACATTTCCTGTACACGTACCTGTGACATGTACCGACATGCTAGCAATCATCAGATTCCCTGTCAGGAAGCAGCAACAATTGCACAGCGAGCCAGCCAGCAAGACGCTTAGGGTGCTGATAGTATTCTTGAGGTCTCAGAGATCTGAGTGCATAGGTCTTTGAACGTGTCCACGCGTTTGCAAACCAAGAGCCTATGCAAAACCGCCACCAGTGGACCCGCTCCAGCTTCTAAAGCCTAAACCAGCCGAACACCGAGACACTGGACAAGTTCTTCATGCTTTTGGACAGCAGCATAGCGAGTGCTCTTTGGCGAAACTGGGAGTTGACGGTCATGCGCCGCATGCGCTTTGCTCATCTTTGCTCTATTTCATGTCGTTCATGAAGCTCCCCACTTCATTCATTGTTCGACCTAATACATAACGCTTATTTACTATAGCTGACCAGGCAGACTAGTAAGGTGAGGCTGATTTTCGCCAGTATCATGAAGGCTTTGCTGTTTGCTGGGTAAAGCAGAACGAACCTAAACAATGAAGGAAAGAGGCAGCCGGCGATCTCTGAGCGCAGAAGGTGCGGGGAGACGTGCATTGACGCAGCTCGTCAAGACATGCAACAGAGATATTGTTTCATTCTATTTTTTATTTTGCCGTTCTGCCTAGCGTTCTGCCCTGCCTTGTTCGCACTTCTTTGGACTTCCGTTGGCTTAAACCGAGGAAAGACGAACTCCGAACTCAAACACAGTCTTGACATGTCTTGACACATGTGGACCAGGGGCGGCTGCCGTCCTGGGCAGCGAGGCGCAACCTGGTCGGTGCAGAGGAATTGACTGAGTTTGGGGTTTGAAGCTTTCACTTTCAGATGTTTTTTGTACAAATTAAATTTCAAATTTAGGGGCTGAAGAGTGGAGAGCCAGGTGCCTCTTTGGCTCTTCGTCATGCGCAGCTTTCTGGCCCTGGTCCCTCGAGAGGTGGGTCGTTGAAGCCTGGAGAAAATTGATTTCATTTTTTCCTAGACAAAACATCAATATAGTCCTTTCCCCTGGAATGTCTAGACAAGCAGGCGGATCGAAGAGGTCACAGAAGCCGCAGATTCGTTGACGAATCCGCAGGATGCCTCTGCCAAGAGCGGAGTGCCCATTGCTCCTGGTGCGCTCCGGGAGTCTGGGCTTTGTGCCTTGGGGGCTATGCCAGAACCTCGGTGAGACGACAAACGGAAAGACCACCAGACCTGGTCATTGCCTTGCTTTTGATAGTTTAGAAGAGGCCGCTCATACCTGGTCTGCATGTTCTTTATTGTTGTTTTGATGAGGGAACCGTTTAGCACCTTTTCATTTGACGGCATGTTCCGTTCCAGGCGACTGCTTTGCGATCATGCGGATGCGTCCAATGCAGCTATGAAGGAGAGAGCTTTGATGATCTCAACCGTTGGTCCAACAATCCAATGCCCAAAAATGAGGTTCTCATGTTATCCTTTTCTCCTCCATTTTTTGGTTAGATTGAAGATGGAGAAACAGCAGGAGATTTTGCGGACTCTCCCGGGCGCTCCCGCAGCCTTGTTAGCGTGGGCTGCGAGCGCCTTCACGGTGCTCAGCTGTGATGGGCGCCATTTGGCGGAAATGGTCTTGCAGGACGGGAGACTGCTGACAGACCGACCGGTGCAGACCGGGGGCCTGTCAGCTTCGGAATCTGAACCGACTAGTTTGTCTAGAAAGTTATGACTCCAATTGTGGTGTTGATGAGAGTTTGCCATCTGGCAAGGGCATTGGTATGCACAAAGCATCACAAAGAGCTTGCTTGCCCTTTAACTGTGCTGCCCAAACGACCAGACAATTTTTTGACTCAGAGCTACTCTTGGGCACGATGTTTCTCAAAGAGTCTCAAAATCCCCGAGGGCAAGTCATCTTTTTTGATTCTAGTTCTTGTTGCAGGCATCAATGTCAATGAACTCCAAGAGGGCCAGCTGGGGTGCTCAGACTGCCTTTGGTGACTTTTTGCACTGATGCAATGCAAACCGCTGTACCTTTGGCGTTCCTTCCTGCGTTGTCAACTTTTTCCAATGAACCTCGGGACATTGGATCCATGAGAGTCTGGGAGCAAGGTCTAGTCCCATGGATGTCCATTGAGTGCCATTTGGCCGTGGCTGCCGAGGTTCAGAGTCGCTGCTGCCAAGTAAGGCTCCAAGAGATCTTTGTGACAGATTTTAAATACGCAAGCAAACTCATCAGAAGTTAGTGCCAAGAAGATCGGAGTTCTTCCACCAATGGAAGAATTTTGTTGGTGAGGTGTTGATACCGAAGAGACTGCAAGATGGATCTACATCATGAGTTTTTGATTTTGGATTAGCCACTTGTGCACCCAAGGTCTCAGCAACTTGCTACTGGCGGCAGCAAGTGGTGTCAGGCAGATGGCAGGCGATGGAGAACGACAAAAGTGCAGAATCGAAGATTGTCACTGAAGTAGTTGCCAAGATTCATCTCAGACTTGAAGTAAGAAGGAAAGGGCACATTTCAAGGAAGCACTTACTGGTGGATCCGGTGCATCCTTGGGGAACAACGAAAGAGATCTCACTCATCGCAGTCATGGCCATTGTTATGCGGTGAAGCATGGTCTTCTTGATCAGCCAAGCACTGAAGCTTGCAGGTCCTCCACGCCCACCTTCAACACCAGCAGCTGCAGAGTTTGCTTGTGGTTTGTTATCAAGCATCCTTCTCAGAACGTATATTGACTGTGGAGACGGAAGATGGTCACAGCTTTCCAACATCCCTACACCACACAACTGCCACACAACACACAACACAGACATAAACCATGATGATGTGGGAAACACACAGATGTTACATAAAGCGTCAACATAAACACGCACGTGGACGTTAGGAGACCGAAACGAGGCCTCCGCAAGTTGCCAGCAGCGGCGCGCAATGGGGTCGGTTCCCAATAGGGACGACTTCTTTGGTGTGTTCACTGGATGTCTCAGAAAGGGAAGCAAATCAGAGTGTTTTATGTTAAAAGTAGGAATCAAATTCAAGTATGTTCTGGAGTTGTTTGAGACAAGCTTTCCGCCGGAATTGGAGCAGCTCAAGATCTGTTTTTCATTTCACCTGATTGCGCTTTCCATCTTCCTAGAAATCAACGTGCCGGCGACGTTTGGTCTTTGCTAAGGCTGGCGGTGGCAGTACAGCACCCGTGCGAGCACTAAGTTTTCCATGTTTCTGCGGGCACCCGTTGGAATTTCCTTCTCCAGCTCCAGACTTGCTGAGTTGAAATGGTTGCCCAATCTGGAATGAAAGCGTGCACGGGGCAAGAGTGAGGTGTGAATGGCATGTTACATGTTTAACTGAGGATGGCAACTCCCGCGGTAGGGCAACCCTTCGCGATGGGCATATTGCTGTTGGCGATGTGGTGAGGTGTGGGACCAATGGGGAGGAAGTGGGCCTGTTTCGAGTCAAAGAAACCACAACTGAACTACAAAACGGAACTGGATCCATCTTGTGGTTCTCGTTGAAAGCGAGCAGCTGATCAGCCTGGTTCCAAGAAGCTTTCCCTACCGTTTCTCCCAAGAGCAATCAGGTCGACGTGAATCTGCAGAGATAAAGACTGTCGTAAAGGAAAGCTTCAAGTTGAATGATGTCCAGAGGTCTTTGGACAAGCAGAACCTTTCTCTCCCACATCCCCAGGCTTCATAACGATCTGGAGCGTGCGAAGAGGGAGCAGGAGTGAAAGAAGTTCACACATGTTGTCATATGTGAACGAAATTAGCATTTTGTACACGGTGATTGCAGGTGAAGCCCTTTGGTTTCTAAAGCATGGCTGAGCGCACTTGGATTTGTGAGGAACCACCAGAGCATTTTGGAGGCTGGTGCGACAGGACTGAAGCGCTGGGAAGAATTTGGAAGAATCATGACATGATTTAGAATGACCCGTGCATAGCTTTGGCCAATACAGATACATCGATACATCATGATACATCCTACAGACGGGCATCTTGGGGTGACTTCCTTAGTTTGGTGTGTAAAGGCACAACCTATGTGAGAGTGCGAAAGTGTTTCAAGCAGTTTGACCTAGTTCTTCGAGGTGTCCCAAACCAGTTTGATGTACGTGGACTCTCCCCCGCATTGATGGGTCGGCTTCGTGATGCTCCTAGCATCTCCTGGCCGTTCTTGTTTTCCAGCGCTTTGCCTTTGTCCAGGATGGCTTTTTGCTTGGACTTTCCTGGCCGTGTTGTCAGAGATCTCAGCAGCTTTTGGGTCAGATCTTTGAATCGGTTTGCTTTCTTTGCTGAATTCGGAGCTTTTTTTAAAGCTGCTTAACCTTCCTCTCAGCTGCTTCGAAGATTTGCAGGTCCCTTCAGCCAAAACCGAGTTTTTAAACAGACCCAACGCATGATCACCAATCGTGTTCAAGTTCAGGCTTGACCTTTCTTACTAAACTCCTCTCTTGCCGCTGTCCTCTACTGGCTTGCTCCTTTCAGAGGTTGAGCTATCTTGTATTTTTGTTCGACCCCTCCAAAGGGACTGGCAGGGTGCCACCTGGACCCTTTCACTCACTTCTCTACTCCTTGTGCATTGACTCCCACTTTGGGCTGAAGCATTTGGCATAACCGTCTCAGCGCTTCAACAACCATGGAGACTTCGCCACTGAAAGTTGCCATCATCGGTGGTGGGTTGGGTGGGCTGACTTTGGCCAAGACCTTGCTGCGCTCGGGCGAAGGCGAAGGCGGCGAAGGCTCAAACCGCGTGGAGGTGCGACTCTATGAGGCCTGGGATCAATGGAAAGTCCGTGGGGGTGCACTGGGGCTGGCAGCAGGCGAGCGCATTCTCAAGAGCTTTGGACTTGGAACGAAGCTGGCGGCTGTGGCCAATGATGGTCAGGACCTTTGCGTGCAATATCATGCCAATGGCACGAAGTTAAGCTCCTTGAACTTTACAGGATGCATGGCCATGCGCACGGATTTGCAGAAGCTCTTGGTGGACTCCCTCCCCCCTGAGATCATCAAGCTTGGCCACAAAGTGATTGATATCGTTGAAGGAGACGATGACGTCTTGCTGACCTTTGAGAACGGAGCAACAGCCTCCGCACACTTGGTAGTAGCAGCAGATGGAATTCATAGCTTTGTTCGGCAGAAGGTCTTTGGTGAAGACAGCCCGGTTTTTACAGGCTTCAGAGTTTTATACAGTGTGTCCTCCAAGCCGTACCGGCCAAACCCCTCCATCAACAACATCCACTGGATCGAGGCAGATGGAGTTGGATATGGTGTCCTTGAGTTGACAGCCGGCCGGGACTCCAGTCGTCATGATATTTGCGCTCTGATTTTGCAGAGTAAGGAGGAAGTGACCGACCGTTGGGACTCCACCATGGTCCGTGAGCGCTTCGAGCAGGTCGCTCAACAGCTTGGCGATTTGGCGGTGCTCAAAACGGCCGTGGAGAACAGCGAGGTTTGCTTCGACTGGGGCATCTACCGGTCACCCGAGCGAAAGACCTGGATCTCTCCAAAGGGTCGAACCGTGCTGCTGGGGGATGCAGCTCATGCTACTGCACCCTTCATGGGGCAGGGTGCGAATATGGCCATGCATGATGCCTATTGCTTGGGACAAATCCTGCTGAATCCAAAGATCTCCTTGTCTGATGGCTTGCAACTCTATGAGAACAACCGCAAGGCCTACTGCGAGAGCGTCGTCGCTCGAAGCTCAAGGATGGGACAGGTACATACTGCAGTTGGTCTTAAGGCTTCTTTCCGGAACACCTTTCTGTCAACGATTGTGCTCCCCATCATGAGGAAGGTCTTGTCCACAGGCCCACCAAGCAGAAACCCTGGGACACGCAGAACGAGTCCAGTCTGGTCAACTGTGCCAGTGGCGCTCTCAGTCTCATCAGGCGTTTTGGAAAGAGTGTGGGACGCATGTGCTCATGATGGGCACCGAGAGACATGAGCTTTTGCGATGCTGCTTGAAGGCAGCGTTTTAGTTGAGCGGACCCGGGACCCGGCCGTTCTACGGAAGAACATGAAAACATGAGTTGAGCATGAAAGGAGTTTGGGTTGCTCTTAGATCTGAGTTGCTGGCTTGTGCCCTTTAAAGGAATGAGGGGGCGAGCCAGAATGCATGGTCTCCCAACTGTACAGCTTCGGAGGAGATTTTGAAATTGATTGCGTACAGCTTTTAGCATCACTTGCGCACAGTGAACAGTAAGAACAAAATACCACAGTAGGCTGATGGTGCATGCTTCGCCGAACTGCACATTCTATTGTTTTTCGTCACTGTCATTGAGTCATTGCACATTGTTCCAAAGATTTATGGATTGTTGCCATGATTTCTGCAAATATGAGAGGAGCAACACGTGCAACATACTAGTGACTAGTGGGAAGGTGCAAAGACGAAGCTGCAACTTGCTGAACCATTTCGTTTATCGTAGGTTTCGCGACATGAGTATATTCCTGTGCCTTTTTGTCAGGTCGAGATTCCACGACGCTCCCCACGCATGCCAGAGGCATAAGCGTGAGGGAATTGCACGCATCGTTTCCAAGTGATTCAGATTGTCATCGCTGCTAGGCTTCTTGTTACTAGTAGTAATGCACTTGTTCCTAGTACCGATGCCCTTGTAGCTTCATTCAGATCTTCATCGCTGGAGTTGTGGCTTTGCAGGTCTTGCGTATTTCCCACGGAGCGATTGCCTCAGATTCGGTTCGGGCTGTGGCAGAGTCTCTCCACCTGGAGAAATGTTTCCCAAATTCATTACTGGACCTCCCAATTTGGTTTGGGACACCGACACGGTCTGTAGCGTTGCAGGAATGTTTAAGGTGAGTCTTCTGTGGGGTTTCTAAGCTTCAAGATGTTTGTTGGATGGTTCCCTTAGTGTTTTTTCGTCGTAGAATGCTCGAAGATGTAGCCTTGTGGATAGTGTTCAAGCTGGATATTAACCAAAGAGAACAGTTGGTTGACCACTCGGAACAAGGCCTTGGGATGCTGGTGTTGGAATGCAAAAGCTGTGGCAGAGGCGAGCCGATGCACATCGAGTTAAAGCTGCATCACGGTACAAAGCTTGCTTGGCTGAATTTACAAGTAGCCAACATCAATCCATGTACATCGTGAAAACTAACGAGTAAAAGATTGCCTCGGTTTCTTGCCTTCTTAGCCTCTTGGGCTTGCTTGGCTGTCCGTTACGGTGTTCGACGTGTACGTGGTCCATTTGAGCTTCACAGGCTCCATGCTTAGCCGTGATGCTTGCTCTCTGACAGGTTATTACAGATACCGACCTGCTTCCATTTGAAGAAGGCATGCTACCAACCTGTGGCACAAACAGCCACAAGTTCGGGTTCTGCCAAAGCGATCCGACATCTACAGTTTGTTTGGTTGGCTTCATTTGGCATTTTCTTCTGACATCCCTTCTTTGCCTAGATGAGTGTGGGCCGGGTGCAGCACTGACCATTGGAGATGAGGCAGGAACCACACGCTACGCCGACTGAAATGTGGAGTAGTACCTCTATGTACCTCATCTAAAGTTGTTTGCTCTTAGGTTCGCATCGACGTGGCAGTGGAGGAAGCCAAGCAACTTCAGGCGTTGTACACGCTGCAGACATGTGTGGCATTTCGCACCGTATGCTTTTTTACAATGGATATATATATAATTATGGATCCATATGCGGCACAATGCGCCATTAACTGGTGCTACAGTTCTTTCCACTTCGGAGGCTCATGTTTCATACAAATCCATGCTGCTTTTGGTGGTTTGATGCACTGGAAATCAAGGATTTGAGCACCTTGGGCAGGTGAACCACGGTGGATGGAACGATCGAATGACACAGCTCACATCTGAGAGTTGCAGAAGACTTTATATTGACATTCTTCAATCTTCATTTGTGGATCCAAGCACGTCTCAGCAAAGCTCCGAGTTTCAGCATGTTTGCTCTCAGGTGCTGTGGCCGAGTGGGCCGACTAGAAGCCATCGACAAGGCTGGCGACATGAAGGCGGGGCAAAAGTTTGAGAACCAAAAGACGAGGAAACGAGATGGCAAGACTCCACTTCATCACGAAGCAGAATCATTGCATATTATTCATATTATGGTATACGCTTGCTCTTGAACTGGTTCCCCACGCCCTAAAGCATCAATGGCAAGAATGTGAGCAGGCACTAGCAGAGCGGAATCGGGAAAGCTGAGAAAGCAAGTTCTCTTTCAAACAAACCACTTGCCAACGCAGACAAACGACAGTTGCCGAAGCGTGGAAGCCGTGATGCCCAAGATTTTGTAAGCGCAAGAGAGCCGCACTCAAGCTGCCGTTCAAAATTTCAGGAATCCACGTCTCTATGGATTTGGGATGATTTGGGAATGTACTTTAGCTATACTGTGGAGCTAAGAGCCCACAACTAAATCCCGAGTAGCTCTGGGCAGCCTGTGTTATTCTCTTGCTAATATGAAGTGGCAGTATGCTGCTCATCCCGGTTGCAACTTGCATTCACATGGATCTCAGAATTGCTCGGCCAAAAGATCCGCCCAACCGCCAATCTCGTCTCACCTCATCCTACGGCATTTCATCCCGCCATCATTTCAATGCAAGTCTCCTCTCGCAACTTATGCTCGCAACTGCATCGGACGTGTTCTCAGGCCACCCCATCTAGCAAGGAGAAAGACAGCCCCATGGGTCACAGCGACATAGCGTGCATATGGGGAAGAATCGTTCCATCAGAAGTGGGGCGCGCAGTTGCGAAAAAGAAAAAAAGACAGCAATGAGCAACACAGACCAAAAAGAGCCTTTGCAATGCAAGGTAAATAAAGCAAGAGGCCTGTTTCTCAAGTTATGCAGTTCATGCCTTCAGTCTTTTTCTCTGACAAGCAAGCTGCTTGCGAAACTGGGAAACGCAGTGCTACTGACAGTGCAATTTTAAGTATATTACAGCCACAGATTTCAAAGGTTTTTTTTGTAGTTGTTCTTTCCTTGACCCGGCCCTTGGTGTTTGTTTTTTTCCCTGTGCAAAAAGTACAAAACCAAGAAGCCATCCAAGAAGCAAAGAAAAGCCAGAGTATGAGTATGCCAGCGCGAGCGTCGTTGTGGTTGTGACTGTGCTGTAGTGCTTGAAGTTTGGCTGCTTTTGGGTTGTTGACTTTTTTGCCTCTAACATTTAGAGGGTTGTTCATTTCTTTTAAGAGCTTGGCACGTCGCCCGACCGCTAATTTGCTTTGGTGCATGTTTTGCACATTATTTTTGAAGATGGAGCAACATGCATTGTTTGAGCTGAGGTTTTAGTGCCCGGAGCAGGAGCTTTTGTTTGGAATCCCCGAGCTCTTCGTTCCCTTCATGCGCAAAGGCTCACATGCGTGACTTTTTGATGCAGATGGGCTAGAGGAGTTTGTGCTCGATTGTTGTGGAAGGTGGGAGTCTGCTTTGTGCGAAAGACTGTCAGGGTGCGAGAACCCAGCTGCAAATTGGGGTTGGGCATTCGAGCGGTGATGTGTGGTGATGAGATCGCACTGCATATGAAACTAACCTTCCACTGCCACGCTTCAACAACCCATCCGATTGTTTGTTTCACTCACGGCTTTGCTCTTAGAAAAGCCAAGTGGACCGGGGAGCATGCCTTTGGCAAAGCTTCAACCTGTAAGGGTTGATGTTTGCAGTAGACAAAAGGGGGTTGAAACCGCAGTTGTCTTTGCAATAAAGTATCCGTAGTGACGTGACCCATGTAGATGCCTCCTTAGGATCTGCAGCTGCTAGCAATTCACTCCTTTTGTCAAGCCTTTCAAGCGCTCAATGAATGACATCCACACGCTCAGTGGCGGAGCTTGAATCAAACTTATCAGGTTTGCTAGCTTTCAGAACATGTGGGCGGCTTCTCGTTGTATACCATTGTGGGAAGGACCACCGTCCGAAATTGACACCGGGTAGCACTTTTGTCAAAACCTTGTACCTTGGATGTGCCCGTTCCCTGCCGTGCCTTCACAAACATCAATCGCACTATTTGGCTCTTCTTTTCCCATCAAGAAGGTGCCAATTGCCACGAAGCTGCGATGAAGCCCTAAAAGCGGGCTTTACGGCTCCCTGAACACCTCTGAAACCTCACTATAAACACTCTTGTTTTTCATTGAACAATGCAACAGCATTCTTCATTTTGCAGACATGCACTCTGTATCCAGTTTGCAGCCGTCCTAACTACTCGCGCTTTTCAGGTCATAGTCATATTAGCGTGCACTTGTTCACCTTCAAGTTGCAGGATTATTATTTGGGACATGCTGATGCTTGACAATACTGCTAGGCTGTACCCGCTTGTCTCCAAGGTCTATAGAAGGAACGCTGCCTTTGGCTTTGCTGGCAGCTTTGTCATGCCTAGGTTGTCGCCCTGTCCTTGGAGATCAAATGTCAAGTGTTCTGAAACGACAGGGTGCTTTAAAGAGGCAGCCTACAGTATACGACATGCTGGAATGCCTGTTTGCGTTAGAGTGCAGGCCTGGATTCAGAAGGTCTTCAGGCAGCCACAGCGGAGCTCATTGCTGACGTCTCTTGGCACTGGACTTTCTTTTTTGGCATCGAACTTCTTTTGATTGGAGAACTCTTGCAAGTTGGGCAGTGTGAGTTTGTAGTTTGCTCCATCATCTGAGCTTTGCTTGGCCAAATTAGCATAAATTAGCTTTGAGCTACTTTAATGGCCTTCCACCAACCAAGGGGGGCTCCAACTTGCTTCGAATCTGAGGCTCAAAGCTCTCAGGATGGAGGATTTCAAGGCATCCGGCTCTCAGACAGATGATCGATCGAATGTTGAAAACTCGAACGAAGCTTGCAGCAAGGCATCCGGACTGCTTCTGGTCTCGGCAGGTTGGACCGCGTTGGCGATCTCGGCCCTCATCGTTGACCCAGCGATGGCAGCCGAGTCCCTCGATGAGGCCGAACAGTTGCAAACATGTGGGAATGATGCGAGGTCTCGGGAAGGTTTTGGAGTTTGGAGTGTGTTTGCCCTTGAAACAGACCACTTGGCAAATTCAGAGAAGTAGTGGATGAGTTCACCCGTTCTTTTTCAACAGCATAAGCACTGAAGCGACTTTCGTGTTTTGTAGCTGCTACTACAGAGTGAGGTTATCCCAGCATACTTCAAGATACTTTTGGCATGTTGTTTGCAACTTGGAAGAGTCTTTTGCATTGACTTGGTTGTCAAAGACCATACCAAGAAGATGTTCCCCTTTTCCTCATTTCATTGCACAGCTTCACACCGAGGATCAATACAAAGTGTTGTAAGTGGAATTATAGTTGGTCTACAGGCGCAAGGCCAGCCGGCTCCCTTGCGCAGCCCAGCACTTAGCTTCTCATTGGAACTTTCCAGGATCTAGTAGGTTGGAGGTGCTATTGGGTTCCAGCCCATCGCTGTTAATAGGTTGGAGGCCTTTGTTTGGCTTTTGGGCCTGAGGTTTGATTAGATCGAAAAACCTGCAAGCTTTGGACAAGCTGCCTCCCATGCGTACGCCTTCAAAGCTTTGTTCAAAGGTCATTGAAGAAGCCAAGTAGTATTGAAAAGGACTCCCATAAATGTATTGATTTGGACAGTCACCAACATCAACCTAGAAACAATCCACATTCTCATTCTGTTACGGATGACAGGTGGTGTGTCCAAGGGGCGCAGTACCAAGGCAGGCAGATTTGGTGGGAAGATGTGTAGTCCCTGAGGATTTAATACTCAAATGTCAAATGGGTGTGCGCCTAATCCGTGCACCTGGAAGCTTCGACTTTGTTGACTTGTTCGAAGTAACGTCACTGTTTGACAAAGAGATTCTTCCGCAAAAGGAGTCGCGTGTCTCAGGAGGTGACCACGGCGCTGCCCTTGACGGAGGCCACGTTGTCACAACTTCTCCAGGCGAGATGGGAACCGTGAGCGCCTAGCCGTAGCACTGTTCAATGCACATGTTCGTCAATGGTTATCTCTAAAGTGACGTGGGATTAAAACTTATGTTTGTGTGAACCCATTCTTGCGAGACATTGAGATTTCGGAAGCATGACACGACACGATGTCAGGGGTGGTGGCAAGAGCTACCTTCCTGGGAGCGGAGAGTCTGGGACCTTAGGATTTTTGTGCTCAAAGATCATCATAATGTTTTTTTCTCATTTGCCTCGATTCTGTTCGCACAAAGGCAAGATCGGTTTGATGCAGGCGATAACGGAGACAAGTGCAAGTAGTTTTGTCGGTGAGTGCGTGAGTGAGTTGCACCCCACGGACTCGTGCCAGGCAGCATGGACAGCAAATAGCTGGTTAATGCCTGAGACTTTATGCAAACCGTAGGGGTTAGAAAACAAATGTCCTTGGAACGCACTTTGCGAACGTCAGTTTGCATGTTAGTAGTTGTACAGACAAGCCTGGCAAGGCCCTGGGCTTACTATACAGCACCACTCATGCGCTCGGTTTAGAACATGATAGAACCATTTGCAAGCATGATCTCACAGTTGCCAGGGAATTAGAATCCGAATCTAGAACACCGTTGCGCCGGTAGTTCTCTTTGGTTTGTGCAAAGGCGGCACCTCTCAAAGCAAAGGACTTTCTGCCGTTTTTCCGGATGCATCATCCGGCCGCTGCTTAATGCCGCTGGATGCTGCCTTCATGTTACGAATGGGGGCTCGGTGCCAGTCAATTAACTCCCACTAGGCTTGGGAGTGCTGGTGCCTTCGCGCTCATCGCCCATTTGTCATCCTACTTGTGCCAAAAGGCAGAGACAACCGGATGCCGACACCTGGAACTTGGAACATGAGAAGTTGAATCGTTCGAAGTGGTCCCAAGAGGTCTTCAGCCACGAATCTGTGGGCTCCGTCTCCCAAGTTCCAGAATTCGTTCCACAGGTGAAGTCCTGTGTAGATGACCTGGTACGGATCCAGGCCAACTGGGAATTTATCCCAATGAATCCATGACAACCGGTTGACTGGTTGACCTTGACAGAGTTTCTTAACACATCCTCAAACATCCTCAATGCTATCCTTACATTTTTGCGGAGCGTGGTCATTCTTGGGTCCCCTTGATGCTGGGTTCATGTGATTCAGCAGCGATGGCATTTGGCTGGCCCAACTTTTTGAAGGGTGATTGGATGGGCCAAATCAGAGTTTCGCCACGCGGCGATGAAAACAACGGTTACGCGGCCACTGCTACGCACTACTAGACTGCTACTCCTTATACATGCATATATTATACTGTACTGTATATTCAAAAAGGTGTACACACTGCTACTCCTTGTATCCCTTGTTGTTTTGCTTAAGTCTTCCCATCAATGTCCGTAGCTTTTGGTTTACCCGGAGCAACTGAATACAAGCCAGTTCTGTCGCTGAACCGCAATGATCCTTGGTTGCAGAGGAGAGTGCAATTTGCAGAGCTTTTGAGATACCGTTTGGGACTCTTAGCTTTGGGCTTTTACCAGACTGTGCACTGTGCAAAGACACCAAACTCAATTCTTTTTGGTTCTCGACGCAAGTGGCATGTCCCTTCAGGCGCTGGCACTGGCTTTTTGCCCTCCCTGTTTGGAATGTGCTGGCGCTTTGCAATGACGAGCCTCGCTTTAGAACTTTAGAATATATATATAATATGTCAGCAAAGTGGTTCAGTCTTCCCTCATCACATGACGTCTCATTATTATTGAACCTGTTTTGTTGTCATCCAAAGCTTTCATGCACCATCCAATCCATGCATTCAGGCTGACTGCGAAAGCACTGTGCTATTGCAGTGACATAGATGCATCATGATGCATGGGAGGGATTTTGTTACACGTTTTCAGACCTAAAATCTATTGTTTGGCAGCATGAAATCTACTTAGCCTTCTTTGTTGGACGCTACAGCAGCTCCGGTGGAAAGGAAGTTGCAAACAGACATATATACCTTTCATTTGCAAAACTGGGATACCATGCTGTTAGCATTTCACTAAACAAAAGGAACGACCTCCTTTTGGAAGCTTGGCCTGGAGGGCCTAGAGGACACTGCAAGTTGCAAGGGTTGCAAGTGGGGGCCGCCACTCTAAGGAAGCCGCCCGAGAAGCATGACGTCAAAGCGCGGTGACCAAGAGTTCGCTACTGGATTGCACACTGCTCGGAAAGTCCCAAGGAACACGATGCCTCAGCAAGTTCAACCTCTGCAAGCTCGAAGAGTCCCAAGGAACAGCGGGCTGTAGAGGCAGGAGCAAACGGAGCGACAAGTTCAACTTCGACTGCCGCAAGCTGTGCGAGCAACTCGGACGCAAGACTCGCCATGGCAATGGGAAGGCGTTTTTTGATAGCCAAGCAAAGCCAGCAAAGCCTGCTAGCTTCTTGATTTATTCCCTATGAAAGATACAGATATGAAAGTGCATATTGATTATGCCAGAAGATGAGAACCGTTTCGGAGAAAACCAACCACAATTCTAGAAACACCTCTTGTAAAGATTCGTGAATGTCACTGATGATGATCCGTGATGTCCATCCCTCCAGATATCATCGAAGCAATGGGCCGCGGGACACTTGGAGCAGCACTTGGTGGAATTGACATGAAATTGTGATCCTCTCGAATTCTGATTTGCTCGGCCTCACCCACCCAGCAGCTTTTATTATCGTTTATTCGGTTTGTACACATCAGCCCTGGACCTTCGGTGCGGATTTCGAAGGCAGGTGCAAGATGTCCCAGAGCAGCTGAGGATAAATATTGGCAATACCTACGATCTTCATCAGGATATTACAGATCCAAAGGTAGTGGATGAGCATGTGCAGTGGATCAAAAAGCAAGGACAGCTGGTTTTCTTCGTGGAAGATCACACATGCTGTGATTTTCTGTTGAGCCCCGAACTAAACTTCTTTGTCCGGTTGTCCCTCTTCAACTCTTGTCCTTGTTTGTCCTTGCTGTTTTGGTTTCTGGGTCCAAGACTCGAGAACCGTCAATCTTCCCCTCGCCGCTCCGATGGCCTGTCGTTGTGTGTTGTCGGGATCCTGCCACTGGCTTGGTTGTTTAGCTTCGACGCTGCGACGCTTTCTTTTCACAGTAAGCTTCGCCACCAGGATTCTCTCATGTTCGTTTGCCAGTCACCTGGGGTGAGCGCGGCTGGGCGAATTCAGCACATCAACCTTTCTGGCATGTTCATAATGTATCACTGGGCAACTACCATCCATTGATTCAGAAGAGGGCCAATGCATGGGAGTTGCACCAATTTGCTTTGCTGGTAGTGTTAGTGGGTGAACCTTTATTCATTCCTTTTCTTCTCCACACCTCTAACGTGTGTATGCTTCTCAGGTTCGTTAGATGAAATCTTAGGGCGTGTAGATTTTGTCAACTGTAGCTGCAAGCCTTTTGAAACATAGACTGCAGATACAATGGGACAAAGAAGTCCCAAGCAATCCCCAAAAGGTTGCACATGTGTGGAGCTTAAGGAGCTATACAACGCCAATTGAAACGTCTCAGGTTTCGATCCTCTTTCTACCCTTACCAAGCAAGTAACTGCAGTGGTGGACTATGCTCTTGATCAGGGTTTATATGCAACTTGGCAGACAGTGAAGTTCTTGACCTCAAAGCTTGTCAAGGTGTGAATCGCTTGTCAAACACCTCGTGTCCGAAAGATTTCCAAGCAGCCAGCGATTGATTCCAAGGTCGTCATCAACACTCACCACGAGCACTGGCTGAAAGACCATTACGATGGCTCTCAGCAGCTTGGCATTGGCCGACAGGCCTTCTTGACGGTGTGTGTCTTTGACTTGTTTGCATTCACACACAATCCACCTAACCATATGTCATTCCAGCCCCTGTCCTAGGCAATTTCATTCACTCTTCTGGAGCCTATGGCAGCTGGGTTTGAAAGAAGAACCATTTCCAACATCCCGCTGCCAGTCAAATGGATACAGATGTGGAGCAAGTAGGAGATGCTCTGAGGCATGACATTGCTCTGCATTTTCAAAGCCGAGACGGTGCCTTGATTGATATTGTTTGCGCTGCTGCTTCATGACTCGATCCCTCCCCAAAACTAGTATATACTCAAAGTGTAATTTTGCACGGTTTTATGCAAAGGATTGAAAAGACTTGAAGCCACACAGCATCCCACAGAATCCCACAAGAAAAATAATGAAAGACAAGGCTCAAAGACTGTCCGGAGAAGCAGTGAGAGACACAGACAACCAGCAAAACCAGAAACACTTGCAGGACTAGAACGCACAAAACTAGAGGTTTTGTAGGGTTTTTGAGACGTCGCAGATGTTGTAACCTTTAATCTGACGGGGTTTCTGACGTGCTTGGGAATTTGTAGTGTTGAGACCGCTAGCTGACTGGGGAGAGCTGAAATGAGCGCTTCGCTACAACAAGACGCACGTTTTGTTTGTTTTTTGCAACTTCCAAACTACTTTGTTTTTTGTACAGAGTGGACCTTGAACCTGACTGGGGGCAGATGTGGAAAGCTTCAAAGTGAGCGTCTGGCCCATAGCAGAATACACTAGCGTCGTCAAGTTCTTTGAGAACAAGTGCGGAGAGTCTCTGAGGTGCAGTTGGAAGTATGCATACATGTAGACGGACTCAGAGACTTTCTGATTCAGCATGCTTAGCAATTAAGTGCTGGGGTAGGAAAGTCTCGAGACTAACCACGTGCGATCCAACAACTGTGTGCCTGCAAGACTCGGGGTCTTCTTTCCATATGGTTGAATTTCCCACCCTCCACCCTACCCCACCCCAGGTTCTCGCAAAGCAAGTCAATTCCGTACCTATCAAGTGCAACGTGTTTCATTGACCCCGTCCCACCTCCCCACCTCTCCCCAGTTGCCCTCAAGGAAACCTCAAAAGTAGTGCAAATAGCATACAAAAAATATCCTGATCTTGAGTCAGATGCCTCGCACCTCGCTCTTCGTCATTGTAAACGTTGCAGCTTTTCTTGTGTTTTTCTTGGCCAAATCACGACATTCGCAATGGTTCTTGGGGGGAACGGCCTCGTTTTGGAACGCGCAGTTGGTCTCAATTTGGAACGCGGGCCTTTCCTACCGTGGGGCTGATGGTTGCTCTCTGGTGTTTTTAGTTTCTTCTGCTGTGTTTTTTCTTCCAGTGTTCTTTTCTTGTGCGTCTTTTTTTGTGGTGTGTTTCTTCTCGTGTCTTTTTCTTCTAGTGTTTTTTCTTTTGGTTGCTTTTTTCTTGTGGTGTTTTTTCTTCTCGCTTTTTTTTCTTCTGGTGTATTTTTTTATTTTGGTGTTTTCATTTATCTGAGGGTTATTTTTTGTTGGTGGCTTTTTCTTCTCGTGGCTTTTTTCTTCTAGTGTTTCTTTTCTTATGGTGAGTTTTTCTTATCGTGGCGTTTTTTCTTCTAGTGTTTTTTCTTTTGGTATTTTTTCTTGTGGTGTTTATTTTCTTCTGGTGTTTTTTCCTTCTGGTGTTTTTGGTGTTTTTTTTGAGAGTGGGTGTGCTTGGGAGAGCACATACGAGCTCAAAACCTTTTGAACACACTGTAAATACCGTGCAGAATTTCAGAAACTGTTCTAGGACCTAGGCGAAATGCATATTTTTCAACCTTCCTGTGTCCGGTCTGGATGTGCAATGTCAATTTTCAATTACAACAATTAACAGCTCTTCGTCTGCCCACTGTCAATGTGTCACACCAATGACAAGTAGGTTAATCTTTCTCTGCGCGCAATGAAAGTAGCATCATGAGCGAATATACAAATAATACTATATATATATGTATACACATCAAGATGAACCTGTATGTCAATGATATTGCTTTAGTCTTTTGCTTTTGGTGTTCATGATGTATTTTTTATGTGTCCATTTTGTATAAAACATCTCCCAGGAGCACCCGTATTGTTAACAAGCAGGGCCCCCCCTCCCTCCTCACTTTGACCATGAATAAAGTTCATTCCAGATTCTAAGAAAGGAGTTTAAGAAGTAAATAAAATGAATCTTTACTTAGGACAAATTCCTGGAATTGAGATCAAAGAGACTTCTGAGAAAAGAATTCAATAAGGAAATGTGCGGAAACACTAGTGGTACACGAAGTCCACGGTGTAGCTCGCTTTTAGCTCCAAGAGCACACCCTGCAGTGGGCGAGGTAAAAACAGCTTCAAGCCTAATGCACGGCGTGCATTTCACATCGGTGGTGCTATTGGCCAAAAAGATCACTGGTGATCGGCCAGCCATGCCTCGACTTCATCTCGGAGGCTTCCACCGTAAATTAAATTGACTCGCTCCAGCGGACCGCGCGGTTCAGCGCAGTATGCGCAGCGCCGAATCTTGAAAGTGCAAGCATTCTCCATGGCGGGATGCCATGACAGGAATCCGGCGCGGACATTTGTCCATGTGGTCATCAATCACAGTCACCATCTTGTTCAGGAGCCTGGAGGCCTCATGGATGGCGGCATGGCATTGCGAGCCTCAACCGCTGCAGCTTGGCATTGAGCTACCTTTTCTTGCTCAGCTTTCAGAAGTTCTCGAAGGCGCTGAGGGACAATCGCTTCATCCATCTGCGTCTCAGCGTTGGCCATCTTCTGGTCACCTCGGACTTTTCCACTGGAGCCCTCTTGGTCAGTCGACCAATCCAAAAACTCATCGCCAGGAACAGCAGCAAAGTTCCCAGCAGCCCATAGAAGAACCAGTCAGGTTCCTTCGTAGTCGCTTCCATCACGGGCGCAGCGTCAGTCGAGCAAGTTGGTTCAGCTCGAACTTGCTTGGCTTTTAAAGGCAGGTTTGTTTGGGCTTGGTTTCGGGCTTGACTTCTTAACGTAAGGTTTTTTCGGGCTTGGTTTAGGGTTACGTGTTTGGGCTTCGTTTGAGGCTTGGCTTCTTTAGGCTTTGGGTTTGGGGAGGATTCCGTTGGGGTTTGGTTTAGGGCTTGGTTTATTTACGCGAGTTCGATTGGGTTTGGTTCAGGGATGGCTTCTTTAGGCTTTGTTTTGGCTTGTTTAGGGTTGGTATAGGGCTTGACTTCTTTGGTTTGTTTAGGGTTGGGTTCAGGTTTCACTTCTTTCGGGGTTGCTTTGGCTTTGTATAGGGCTTGGCTTCTTTAGGCGGGTTTGTTTAGGGCTTGGCTTCTTTAGGGTTTGTTTGTGTTTGGTTTCGGGTTTGTTTGGGCTTGTTTCGTGCTTGGCTTCTCTAGGGTATCTTCGGGTTTGGTTTAGGGCTTCGCTTCTTTAGGGTTTGTTTGGGCTTTGTCTACGGCTTACTCCTTTAGGGTTTGCCCTGGGTTGTTTTTAGGGCCTGCCTTCTTTAGGAGAGTTTCCTTGGGGTTGCTTTGGGGCTTGGCCTCTTTCGGGTTTGATTGGGTTTGGTTTAGGAGCTTGGCTTCTTGAGGGTTGTTTGGCCTCGGTTTAGGGCTTGGCTTCTGTCGGCTTTGTTTTGGCTTGTTTAAGGTTGGTTTAGGGCTTGACTTCTTTGGGTGTTGTTTACAGGCTTGGTTTCAGGCTTCCCTCTTTTTAGGGGTTATTCTACTTCTTTAGGGTTTCGTCAGGTTTGGTTTAGGGTTTCGCTTGTGTGGCGAAATTACGTCCGTGATGTCGCAGTGCCATACGGATTTGCGCGGCCTTGGTGGGAAGTGCGTTTGCGTGGCGCCGTGCCACAGGGGAGCGGGAAACATGCTGGTGTAAACGCGGCGTGTCGCTGGTGAGCGGGATGATTGGCGGTATCGCGCGACAGGGTTGCTTCTAGTGTGTGGGCAGACCGTGCGAAATTACGTATTTAGCGCTCATTTGGGCTTTGTTTAGGGCTTGGCTTCCTTGGGCATTTGTTGGGCTTGCTTGGTTTACGGCCTTGTTTCGCCGCAGCTTCAATCCTTCCAAATTGTAAAAACTTCCTTCCAAAGGACAAACCAAAAGTACACGAAGGGGTTCGCCCCAAGCTTCAACCCTTCCAAAGCAGAAAATGATTGTTCTAAAGGGTAAAATAAAGATACGCAAAGGGATCGCCCCAAGCGTCAATTATGCCAAAAGGTACAATTACTTGCCAAAGGAAAAACAAAAATACACGAAAGCGGTGGTAAGGTTTGAGAGCACCGAAGCCAAAAAAATAGACTTCAAAAGCTTCAATCCCTGGTGAAAAACAACTGTGTTGGCGCAGGTAGGGCGCAAGCCCTAAAAGTTTAGGGCTTGGCTTCGTTACGCGAGTTTGATTGGGTTTGGTGGGGCTTGGCTTCTTTAGGCTTTGTTTTGGCTTGCTTAGGGTTGGTATAGGGCTTGACTTCTCTGGATTGCTTAGGGTTGGTTTCAGGGGGGATTGCTTTGGCTTTGTTTAGGGCTTGGCTTCTTTAGGCGGGTTTGTTTGGGCTTCGCTTAGGGCTTGGCTTCTTTGGGGTTTGTTCTTGGTTTAGGGTTGACTTCTTTATCAGGTTTGTTTGTGGTTGGTTTAGGGTGAACTTCTTTAGGGTTTCTTCGGGTTTGGTTTAGGGCTTCGCTGCTCCAAGGTTTGCTTGGGCTTTGTTTAGGACTCTCCAGGGAGTTTCTTGCTTCCGCCGGCTTCCGCCTCCTGCGGTGACCAATCGGGTTGGTGGAAAGAACTCCGAATCAGCGACCGGTACTGGTGACCGATTCGGGTTGGTTTCGTTCGTTTTTTCTCCGGCGGGGGAGGCGCTGCGCCCTCTCCCGCACCCCCTCCCGCTTATTCTGAAGGAGATCAAAGCAATAAAGGGGCCTGGGAAGGTATACTAGCTTGGCATGGCACCTTCTTCCTCTAAATTTGATCTGCGAACTGATATGACATCGCATGCGCGCTACATATCAACAAGGGCATAGGAATCAAAAAATTATTTATCGAATCGATAAAAAATATTTACTGAATCAAAAGAAATATTTACTGAATCAATAAAAAATATTCGTTGTGCGATGAAATCCCTTGGAATTCCCACTCGTGTAGGTGGCCGGTCCTTGGTCCGCTGGTCACCTGGTCCGCTCATCCTCTGTTCCCGCTGGTCCCCTGGTCCTCTGGTCCTCTGGTCCGCTGGTCCCCT